TTCAACAATTGCTACCTAGTTAAATATAAGCCCTGGAGCCGGGCCTTGCTGCCACTGCTGACCACCAGCCGCTCTCGTATAGTCGGACCTGTAATTTCTTGGCCGAACACAAAAATCGGGTCACAGTGGAGGGATGCCCAGACCATGGGATCTTGCAGTGCCACTGACGGCGCCGTCATTACCCCAAAGATGGGCGGACGCAGTGGATCTTTGATTGTTCGAGGACAGATTTCGTCGCACCAGTCATTTTATGCCTATGGCGAGGAAACAAATGCGACAGACCGCCCTGTCCGGACCCAAAGAAAAGATCGGATCAAGAGTCTCATGCACGACTGGTAGACGCGTGTAGCACGGCAATGCATAAGAAATGCGACAAAGCCTCCATGGAACTCATGATGACACGCATATAAGATGTGGAAATACACTGCTAGGAAGAGACATAAACCATGTAGTGGGTAGTATAGTTGGCGGTAGGGCAGACGGTCGTTGTGCTGACTGACCACCTATAACGGCCGATAAGTGCCAAGCATAGTTCTCTGTCGTCATGAAGAGTACTACCCAAGACTCGTAAGCTAGAGCCTTTGACTCGCGCGGACGTATAGCCAAAGCAGGCTGGTGATCGACGAGGCTCTGGTTGGCGGGAGAGCAACTCGATGGAACTTGCCGTTGCAAACATACCATGATAGGGCCCAGCGCATATAGGGCCAGGGCCGGTGCCACGGTAGGTGCTGCCAATGTAACTGTAAATTGTAAATGCTTTCAGAAGAGAGTGCAAATGGGCCAAGAGCATGCGATAACAGCCAGATCATGATGCTACGAGTAAGACGGATGGCATCACAAGTATGCATGGTTATTAAACCATGAGGGGAAAGAGAGAGGAAAAGGCGCAGAAGGCAGGAAGGCTTCAAACCACCGTTGCCTAAAATCATACATGATCCAACAATTGATGCTCTCTGCACTTTAGGATGCATGAGTGCACCTTCAATGTTCACCGAATTCTATAGGCACCTTTCTAGTGGTGGTAAGAAAGCTTCAGCAGACAACTGCCAGCATTGGTGGTGCTCCACTAGCGGCACAACCAACTAAGCTGGACAGGTTGGAGCGTCTTCGCCGTGAAAATAAGCTTGTTGGCATCGTTAGAAGCTTATGCATATCCGCCGGAACATCCCTGACTCAATATCTAGGCGGATGCACATACAGTAAACAGCCGCCGCCGATTGCTTGATCTTTAGTCAAGAGCCAAGCACTGGGCATGGCTTTGCATCACATCATCGTCTACGATTTATTTGCTGATCGCCTCGCCAACTATTTGGCAGAATTTCCGCAGTACTTGCTACCCTATACAGACATGCCGCCGCCCCCAGGTACTCTTACTCGCCAGTGTGGCGGTGCGTGTATCGCAATTAAGCAGCTGCGCTTGGCATATTCTTAATTGCAGTCTCGCCTGCCTCCCTAGTGGAAGGAAGGCCTTATTGTTCTTTCTCTAGTTCCTTTCGCCCTGTTGTCGATCGAAACATGCAACCCCAGATAAAGCTCAGAGGTACACAAATGCACAAACATGTTGGTCAGTCCGAAAAATCCAAGGCTTTTTAGACCATTATGCCAAGAGGACCGCCCAGCGCTGCCGAGAGACATTCGACAGAATGCCTAGCACCATACAGCCCCGACCTCTACCGCCTAAAAGATTCCGGGGGGTTTACAGATACACTTCGCCGGCAACAGTTGGATTCGCTGGACCACAAAAGCCAATTCATTCCGATGTCCAGGGCGTACCAAATATTGAGTTGCCGGACATTGTCTAGTTGCTTTACTCTCAGACAACCCGGGGGTGTTGGAGAAGACATCTCTAGAAGGAGTTACCCATATGTTCTATCCTGTGACAGCATCCAATTCAAGCCCCAGTTCAGTCACAGCCCTCCGCCCATCCAAAGTCGCTGTTACCGTAGCTACTGCAAGCTTGAAAGCTGTGAAGACGGCATTTGTAGAACAGAGACCAGATGCATAAAGAAACAAACTTCTCGAAACAATCCTAATCGCAAGCCTGGTACCTAATACGTATACTTCGGGGCATAATCACTACTACTTGTCCAATTCATCTCACACTGACACACCAGGGTTCTTGAACAGACTAGACAGTACTGCCAAACGATCGATTCAATACGTACTCCCAGCCAGCCATTCATTCCCTATCATGTCGAGTCAGGCTAGCAATATCGAACCCACCACCCCCTTCCTCCCTTCTAAGCTTTTCATCAGCATTATTGTTTCCCACCACATCGCTGCCTTCTAGAGTCTAGACAGCATTCGTCATCAGCCTAGCACAGTGGAGATTGCTCGCGCAGCGTTGACGGAAACCCTTGCTACCCTACCTACCTACCTGACAATCCCTTCTTTAGAGCAAACGGATTATCGGATATACTACCACAGACACATACTAATTGTACATTGCCAGTGTACTGACTGACTTGGAGCACCTTGCATAGAAAGAAGCGATCAGGCCAAGCAACGCAACGCCCACATTCCGAGACCTTTAAACCACATACCCCAGGTCACCCGACTCATTGATTGACGGCTGCTTGTACGCTTCAATGCGTGCCGTACCCGCTCCTTGATTCTCCTCTTCGAGTACTGAATAGTGAATACAGAGCCCCTAGACAGATACTGTTCGTAAGACGGTTTTGCTTTGCCGCCGACTCTCAGGTAGACCTCCGCTTCTGCGCATCGTCCCTCCCTGCTCTGGGCAGACACAACTTGCCTCTGCACACACACACAGAGAGAAATAAAAAGCAGGCTGATCATCGTATCATACCTGACTTGTCAGAATTGGTCGAGTACAAACGGTACATGTGCAGCGCCTCGGACCAGCAGCAGTCCCAGCAACGCCAACGCGCGTACATTCTCGGCACTATCAGCGAGATTAGGTACGTACAGCCGAGCTCCTCCAATACCTGTACTCTACTGCCCGAACACAGTCTCCCTCCTAGTGGAAGCAATGCAACTTCGTGCCATGCCATTTAATGAAGCTTAAAATTTCCCGTTATATTTCTGTCTATTGCTGTAGCGTTGAGCTGGCTTTTGGTTCCATTGGTTTATCACATTCACCCTTGGTGTCAATTCTTCACATGGGCCACCTGTATTTCCATTTTCTTTTCTTTCTCTCTCTTCTGCCTGGCCACCCGACTACTACTTGGATGTACAGAGGACAACTGTAGAGGCCCTGATTGCTCAATAAAAGACCTGATCCACCCGCATCAAGCATTAAGCGGGCTGAGTCCTGGCAACTCTTGCTTAGTTGGACGATATGTCAAGCTTACAAAATTTCAAAATTCAGCTAGCCACGGCCAGTAGAGAGTTTTAGTCGAGTGACATGACCAAGTAGGCGTCGTCATTGGGCCAGTAGTCCCCCCCTCCCCTCTGTCATTCACCTACGGCCCTGTCGTGGATCCCTGGGCGCATACTCTACACAGTACACTACGTACTCTGCACACAATACTAGACATGTGTATACGTAGCGGGCCTGCGAAGAGTGTATCAGGTTATATATGGCACAGCACCAGGACCTACTCCATTCGAGGGTGACGTGAGGAAGATCCAATACCCTGCCCGTCTCGCAAGCCTGCCACGGGTAAAACTTGCTCCAAAGAAACAAGCCCCACGCGGTCATCGGCTTGTCTTTCTGCTATGGCCGACCGGTGCCAAATAGCTACTTGAGTATGTGCCTGGGTATGCAAAGGGAGAGCAAGGTGTGCTGCCGTCACCAGTGTGTATACCAAACATGGGATAATAGTTTAAGATTCAGAGCAGTCTCCTTTGGCTGGTGCATGTCGTGCAAGAGCAAGTGTGGATCAAGCTTCTGTCACTTTGTCCTAGCCGACATCGTCTCAAGTCGTTCGACCAAGTGGGATAATGTAATCTTTTTTTTTTCTTTGCAATCTTTGAGAAGGAGAGAAAAGACGTACCTGTTGTACGTACGTACCTACGAGAAGTTTTCCGCATAGCTGACAGAAAATAGTGCGTAAATAGGTTACTGGGTATGGTCCCTCGTAAATCGAGCAACGGCCGAACCAATCAAGCAACGCAATTCCAACCTACTACACAGTACCAAACCAGCCAGATGGATGAGACGGCCCTTTAGCCAGCTCCCCATCTCGCAGCTTTTCCCAGCAGCACCCTTGGACCTCTGATTTGGGGGGAGGGGGGCCCAGCCAGCCAGCCCAGCCCAGCCAAGCAACAAGACTGCAGAGAGGGAGAGACAGAGGGGAGGGGACAGAGAGAAGAAAGAGGTTCCCACTCTTACGGAATAGCCAAGCCATCCTAACCTCGACAACCTTTACGTGGACAAGAGGAGCCCTGGGATCCGCAATCCACTATCTCTACGCTACTCGTCGACTCTAGCGTGGGGTGGAGACTGGATCTGCCGCGCAAGCCATTTGTGCTCGCCTACCAGATCGGGGATTAAGCAGTGGCCGACCCTCTTTGGGACGATCCACATTACTGACCTGCGAGGGTACCAGGTGTGGATCTCGACCCAGGGAGCGGGCAGAAAGAAAAGAAGAACTTGGGGGGGGGGGGGGGGGGGGGGCCAAGCGAAAGGACAAGTCTTGGCACGAAAAAAGGTTAAGCAAGTCCAAATTGTCCTAACTTTAATTGTTTAACCTTCATAGTATTATAAGCACACCTCCATCCTTTTTTTCTTCATTACTCGTCTACTACTTCTACTTTCCCACCACCAACAACCACCACCACACGACCAACTATTATTTGTTCCTTTGCTTCAAATAATAGTATATGAGAAAGAGAAGGAGACGAAAACCCACACGACAACAAGGTATTAACCACTTCTATCAGTACCTACACAGCATAACTTATCCTTGGTCGCTCCTCTCCAAGAGCACACTTACCACCTACAACAATCCTATATCTTGTTGGGCGTTTCTCTACTTTCCCGCCAGCTGTGCGCCCCACCCCCCTCATATACGCCACATCATTACGCAAGAGCCATGGAGACATACCATGGCTTCGTGCGGACTCCCGCAGACGCCATCAAGTTGTTCGAGGCATGCAGGCTAGGTCTTTTGCCCAGAGTACAGAGGCGGTTATCAGAGAAGGAGAGGCAGTCGATCAGATCTGGATCCGTTTTCGTGTGGGATGAAAGAGAAGCTGGTATGCGGCGGTGGACCGATGGCAAGTCGTGGAGTGCGAGCAGAGTGTCGGGTAGCTTCCTCACATACCGCGAAATGGAAGGCAAGAGAGGCAGCGGCTTTGGCAACTCGAGACGCAGCAACGGCAGGACTCCCGACAGCGGTCGCTTCAGTGATGAAGACCCCGATGGAGAGCCCGAGGGCTACCGATACAAGGCAGATGGCCTCATGAAGCAGTCTTTCAGCATCACAACCTCGCAGGGCCAACATCTACACCTCATTTCATACTACTCGAGACCGCAGCACAATACTCCAGAACTGCCACAGCCCACCTCCGACGCCAGCCTAAGGCACATTGTCCCTGCCAAGGGCATGTATCCAGAGTCGAGCTTGCACGACACCAACCCTCCCGCTCTGACGAGAACGCCTATGCAGCCATACACGACCCAGCCGCCTCCTCCAGAACCATCTCAGTATCCCTACGCCTGGCCTCCTCACCCAGCATGGATGGCTGCGTGGCCACCGTCTCCCAATGGCACTCCCCCTTGGGGGATGCCGCGCATGTCTCCAGATGCAAAGGTCCACGCCATTCCCAGATTGCAACCTCAGCCTCATATGCAGCCTCATCTGCTCAGTCCTCACATGCAACCTCTACCGCAGCCTCTGCCACAGCTGCCTCCTCCCACGACATCTGCTTCCAGCCAACCCTCATTGTACCCGCGCCCGCCAGCACTATATGAGCAGGACAGGCTTCCTCCAGTCGCAGCCGTCAGTGCATACCCACCCGTTCAGACCATCGCAGCTTCGACCTCCCCACGCCTGCAACAATTACAGCAGGCAGCTGCTCATGCCGTCATGATCGACCCCCGTATCGCAACGACGAGCGCACGCAATCCTCAGGGTCCTCTGCCTGCCATGCCAACTGCTGCTCCTCGCCTGACGCCTCCAAGAACGCACAGTGTCTCTCCGCCGCGCACTGCCGGCTCAGACACCGTCAACCCTTCGAGTCGGGCAAGTCTGTCAGCACTTCTTCACCCAACTCCGGCCAACTCGGAGCCCAGCAGTGCCAACCCTGCAAGCAGTGGCAGCGCAAGCAGTTCGCCGAGAGCTCTCGCTTCTGCTCCAACTACCGACCTCTACAACAACCAGGACGCCAAGGCGATCCGTTCTTTGGACAGGAAATTCCATATTTAGAGAAGACGAGCGAAGGGCTGTCTTTGGTTTCCAAATCTTTTTCTTTTTTTTTCGAGACGCCGTGACCTCACGGTCATTGGCTCTTTTTGCATGCATATCTACGGCGTTTAGGGAACCAAAAATCTTTACGGTTCAGGTTGATTGCCTGGTTGGCAGCACGGTTCAGACCTTTTGGTCCACGGACGTGTTCTTTTTCTTTGTTCTACAGCGCGCATTTACAATCGATGGTCACCTTGCCGACCATCAAGGATGGAGTTTTGGGTCAATTGGGGTTTCAAACCGGCCCGCTCATAAGCGGTCAAATAACCATATTCGTGTACATAGTTAGACCCAGCATATAGCTAGCCTACAAGGTAGAAGAAGACTTATGGTCTCTTCCTAGAAATCAATCACCGATTGCCTCCAACCTTTCGCACACCGACGATCCGACCCAATGCAGCGTAGATATGCGTAGTAAGAAGTGCTATGGACCCTTCATCACAATGGCTGGCAAGATGCAAAGACATGCACAGCACTCCCTTATCGGTCCAACTGAGCGGCAAGAATGAGCTTGATCCATGCACGGCTTCGTACCCAAAATCCATCTGGGGCCGGACTTCCACCACTTCACGAGAGGGACCCTTGCTTTGCGCATACGCGGCATATCAAGGGCGTTTGGCTCACATCATCTCCACAGGGCCAGGTTGGAGAAATCTCCCGTCACCGTAACGCCTATTTTACTCAACGGTGGGCACGAGTAAATAGATCGATACCACATAAGACATGTACGTAGTACTGAGCCATGCCCGTGGGACCTCTTCATCTCGGAGTGAGGCAGTGAAGGAACAACCATAATTGAACCTAGTTGCAGAGCCCCGCCAGACCCCTACAAAGTCCCAGAAACAAGCACTGTTCGCTTTTCTTCATGTCATCCTCTGTTTACAATTCTCCCATCCAGCGGCAAACTGTCGGTGCTAGACACCATACTGTGTACTAGATTTGTAGATAGGCAGGTCAATGTAGGTACTGACCGGAAATACCCCGCGGCCGTCGTCCCATTCGTGGGTGTTCTCTTCGCAGCCAGTGCATACTTGCCTGTTCGTCACGGGACCGGGATGTTTTCAGATTATGTTGCATCCGGACGTATATGAAGTTGCGAGTTTCTTTATTGAATGTAATAACGACCAGATCAAGATCAAAGATCGCGTGTCATTGTTGCTATAGCTTGTGCTAAATAAACTAATTGTAAATCTGATCTCATTTTGTTGCACCTACTACAGCACCTACCAAGATCCCACGACGGATACCATCGTCCCAAAAGTTCTGTGCAGAGGCCAGCCAAATCAGGGCCTGCGTCGATCTCCTGCTTGAAATAGCACAGAAATCCGCTTATCCGACGGTTGGTGAACCGTCATTCGACTTTCATGAGTAATAATAATTAGGGGGGAATTCCAACGAAGTCATCGTGGCTTTGCCAAGCACCAACAGCGCCTTCGACAATTCTAAAGTGATTGCACCAACTAGACGTGTTTTGATACCCGCTGCGCATCCACGGGTTCCAGCGAGCAAGTTAAACAAAGCAACTTGCTCAAGTTCCTGGAGGGTAACGGCAATGCTTACGCAAACATACGCACGCAATTGCAGGAATATCAAATGAAGGACGCGAACCATGGCCCCCTCCCTTTCCCTTTCCCCCCTTCGGCCCAGCGCACCATTTCATGCCCGTGAAAAACTCCACCATCTACAAGTCTACCTGCGATGCAAGCTGTCGGACGACCTTGATTAATGGAAGAGATTACCGAGCCGACAAGAGACAAGAAAGAGGAGACGGCTTACCTCTCTCTGCACAACACCTTCAGCCTTCAGGTCAGTTGGTCCAAAAGGCAAATGAGCATGACAGGGGGGCCCCCTTCGACCCATTATGGGATTCTGTGAATCTTTTCCCTTGGTGTCGTCTTCCACCCCCTTGTCTGCTGCGTAATGGTCTATGAATAGGAAGCGCGCAGACTGGTTCGAGGCCAGAGGGGACCCATTGTATATACACGCGTCCGATGTCCACACTTTGGCGCTCCCTCGGACCTAAGGGGCCCAGAACCGATGGGAGAAAAAGAAAGAAAAAACTCTTTGAAGTCGATTGATCTACCAATAAGCTTTGCTTGCAGTCACTTGTGAATCCGTTATGGTTCTTACTCAGCGGTCTTTCCTCCCCCAAAGTATCTACTTGCCATGCTTCAAATGTAGGAATACGAATATTGAATGCAAAACTGGTGCTTTTGCGACGCGCTTCACAAACGCAAGAGGCTAAGACATTACCTCTAACGACCGCCCTGACATGACCTGACTAGATACCTCATATCAATAAGAGAAAAATGGAGTTTTTCAATGGAATAGAGACGATCTCCATCTTTTGAGGTGGGATTTAGAACAGTAGGTCGTTGCAAGTACGTAGCATCTCTAACGTTTCATCTTGTGGTGCATCAGGATAAAAAGCTGGCAGGCAAGTGGACGTGGATCTGCCTGTACCTGGTAGGTAGTAGTTGTATCAGTGCCCACGTTGCCCTCGGCCTCTACCGACAAACGCACCGCGGAAATTCCGAGGAGGGGGTGGAAGGGAGAGGGGAGGGGAAATGCTATACTCGAATCATAGTTGCATATATGGAGAATGCGACCGAGTCTGCAGCACGTTTCAGACAAGAAACTTGATATCTTGTTTTCTTTCTGGTTCAACAGACAGCTCGTCGACTATCTTTTGACTACTTGCCACCAATACTCCAATGATGTACTGCTTTCTTGCAGATTCAGGGTTCGCTCCCTGGCATCTGCTGTGCATCTAGCCTGGAACATTTTCCAGTGGACTGACCGCCCACTGTTCGAGACGTGGTACGCAACCACCCGGGAAACAAGTGTCAATGATAATCTTAATAGTCCAAACTAAACCACCTGAAGCTTAGCTTGGCATCCTGGGCAATTGTGAAAAAAAGAAGTTGCAAGTTTTTGGCTTTCTTTTCGGACCTTTCTACAAAAAGACTTGGACCTCTCCCCTGAGAAGATTTACGTAGGTACCTACACGGGCCAGGTCCCAATGCCCCCCCAGGGGACCGCAATACGTCAACCGCGCGTCCTCGATTATGCTTGTGGAGGATAGGGTTAAATAGTGCCCGGCGCCGTTGTGGAGTCTACATTTGTTTCCTCCGACCTGCTATCTTCTTAACCTTTTATTTCTTCCTTGAAACAATTATAACTGCGTCCGAAAAGATGAGTATTTTTTCGGCCCGATGATGGTATGAGCATCGTCTCTTTGCCTAGAGCCAAAACTATTATGCTGGATAAGATTCAGAAAGACAAATAGGCGTATTGTTGAGAATAAGATACTGACTGGGTGGCTGTGGTAAGCTAGCTAGGATCTTCGATGAAAGCGGAAAAAGGCGTTGCCAAGCCGTTTTTTTTTTTAATCCCTTAAAAAGACGGCCCAGATCTCCCTCCCCTCGACCATGAAATTTAGTGGTCCCGATAGCTTGGATCAACTGTCTATCGCTGCGGCTGTGCAAAAAAAAAAAAAAAAAAAAAATCAATGGGAAACGAACGAGCGAGCGGGTGCCATTCCCGCAACGCAACGCACGCACTGGCAAATCACTAATCTTTTTTATTTACATGCACTAGAACGAACCTCTTCTCGCCCCCCTTCTCTCCCCAGCAAGGGGCTCAAGACGGGAAACAAGAAATCCAGCCCTGTGAAAAGCCAGAAAAGGAATTACGATGTTCAGGGGCTCCAATCGCCTGAAAACAAAGTATATGGATTGCTGGGACATGCTGTCATGCTGCAGACCAAGTGCGTACCTACCTACGTACATTGCTGGTTGGGCGTGTGTTTAGCCATATTGCCCTCTGTTGCCTCTATTCTGTAGTGAGGCTCGTCGTCAGTAGCAGGTGAGGCTGATAGCGCTTAATGCAACCCAGAAAAGGGGGCTAGCTAGGTAACTAAGGAACTGACCCTTTTGAAAGAACAACGAGCGTCGTCTACAGATGGCCATCACTTTACATGGTAGCACAATACCATTCAAATATCTTTCTTCTGGAGATGCATAGCATGTGCACTTTTATACAATATAATTATTACATGGTGCATGCAAGGGAGGAGCAAGATCTTTGACGTCTCGGACATACAAAACCCACTTGCTCGTTCGACATCGGACGGTTTGACGTTTCAACGGCGCAGCAGCAGCAGAAGTGAGGAATCCAGACCACAGAAGGACAAAGGCCAAGCTTTTTCGGCTACTGCCCCGAATTGCGTGTGTGCCCACTATATATCGTAAGTGCTCCTAATGTGTTGAACGGCCCCCAATTACCACATCTGTAAGTCCAATGACCCATGGCGCCCGCAAAATCCTGCGATTCCCACCCTTCCCCCATCGGAGCTGCTAAGGCAATAATACAAACAAGCATCGTACGTCTCGCCGACGGCAAAGCTGCTTCTTTTTTCGAGCAACGCCGTTTCGATAGCTCCCAAGCCATGCGTCGCAACCTGCATGTCTGGATCTTGATCTGGATCTCGTTAGCTCCCCGAAATGGCTTGAATGGCGCGTAATTCGACACGTCCCAACATTTAGACGGACCTTCTTCTTCAAACATGGAGAGAGAGAGGTGTCGAGAGTATCGTACGAGGTACTAGTTCTGGCCGGCTTGTATATGCACATGGTCTGGCCATGGTACTGAGCGATAATTGATCTCCATCAATGAAAATCATCGATGGATTGCTCGCTTGTGAAGACTAGGCGTAGGCTCCCCTAGCGAGTGACATGTACTCTTCCCTCGTATACTCTAGGCTCAGGCCAATGTAATCAAATGCAGATGATCCTTATGGACTGATATGGGGATTGATGAAACACTGTGGCCTTGTTGTTGTCAGCCTAGGAGACCGTCATTTCGTTAAGTCTACTTATGCGATGCAGATTTCAGTATTACTTTGACCAGTATGATTCATGAAACACAATTATTAGTAAATACAACTGCAGAGGGAGTTC